ATACTGCAGCCCCAGGGGGGAGCACACCAGGGCCAGGAGCCTTGTCCACTGGCCGCAAATCAAACCGAGAGGAGTCTGAGCAATCATCCCTGGCACATCCCTTCGCGGAGAGGCAGGGAGGAGGAGGAACACAAGCTGAGGAGAGACACTGCGGGAGAGGAGCGGCGGGGGGTGGGGCCCAGCTGGATCTGCTCCCCGAGCAGCACCCACAGACCTTTCCCCACCCTGGGGCTTGGTGGGTGGGTTTGGCCCCATTGCCCATCAACGTAACCCAACCACATCCTTGGGTGGATGCAAGGGGCTGAGTCCCAGCTCCCATCCCTCCTCCCCACAAGGGTCCAAGGTCCCCAGGGACAAGGAAGACAGGACCCAGCTTCCAAGAGTAATTAATTACTTACTAACAAACTAACAAAACTGACGAGACTTCCATCCTTGCTGGGTAGCTTCAGAGGGAGGATACCAGCGCATCTGGAAGAGAAAGCCATGCCAGAGGTCCGTGATGTGGGATTATCTCAGCCAGTGCCCAAACCTTCAGCTCCTCCAGGCCACTCAAGGTACACCCAGCCGAGATGTCTCCAGCATGGGAGAGGAGGCTCCAGGGTGAGCCCCAAATACTGCTTGAGTAGCATCCTGACCTGGGGCCGCACCATGCTGGCACTGCCCGGCACACCAGCCCCTCACTGGCCAGCTCTGGTGGCTCATGCAAGGACCGGCTGAGCCTGACCAGGTGCTGGGACCCAGCCAGGTCCACACTTATGGAGCACGGTGGGATCCCACACGTCCAAGAAGCTATACCCCATCTCAGGTCTCGCCTTACCACCTCAAGCACTTTGTGCCCATTGGCACAACCAGAAGGCAGCCTCCAAATCCACACCCACGCCTGGCTCCAGCTCGCCACAACATGCAGACCACCACTGTTCCAGCTAGGAAAGCTCCTCACCACCAAGCTATCCATGGTGTTTACCACTGCAGAGGGGCTGTTCCTCTCCCAGCACACCCTTGCTCCCCCACGCACCCCAAGTTTACATCTGTGCCCTCACCCAGGCTGGGCGGAAGAGGCTCACTTTGGGCATGCAGCACCCCAAGGCAGCAGTCACTCTGCCCTCACCCAGCAGGAGGTGGCATCTCAGGACCACACACTGAAACCAGACCACCTCTACATGATGCACACCAGGTAAGAACTGGCTCATCCATCGCAGAAGAGACCTACAAAACTTCCTAAGCTACAACCCAGCCATCAGAAGAGGCTCCAGGCAGACCACATCATGGGAAGAACTTGTTAGAGCTGCAAACCAGCAAGACTCAGAGGGTCCCCTGGCAGGTCACTGCTGCCCCATCTACTGCTCAGGCCTGCTCCTTGCTGAAGAAGGACTGCTGGATGGGGACACAGGAACAGTGACTGAACACTTCCCAGCCTGTCAGTAGATGCAGCAAGCTGGCAACATCCAGTGGAATACCATCAGACATCCAGATGCTCCCGTTTGGTCTGCAAGGTGCCAGGCTGGGCTGAGTTAGCAGCTTCATGCCCAAGAGCAGCGGGAGATGAGTCTGTGCCACTTGACCGAGCACCGATCCAGTGGCAGGAGCAGCTAGTGGAGCTTGGTCCTGCTGCTGTCTGCAAAGGGAGCTGAAACACAGCAGCCACCCCCTGTATCCTCCCTCCCCGGCTAGTGGGAGGGGAGCACAGCCTCAGCACGGACAAGCATCAGGAGCAGCAGGTACCTTCAGGGCTCTGGGTACCAGCAGAGCAATGGACTTTGCTTTAAGATGACTAGAAAAAGAGGCGGAGCCCAGTGTGAAACAAGATCATCCTGGCAAGGTTGTCCCCTTGCCTAAACAAGCCTGGCTAGATGCTCCCCTCCCAAGCACATGCACTACTTCTGGGCCAGAGAAGTATTCCCAGACCAGCTCCAACCCCCATGCATGGCACCCTCCCACTAAGACAAAACCTCGTCCGAGGACAGGCAGACTTTCTTGAAGCAAGGTCCCAGGTCAGTTGGGCAAAGGAATAGATGCACCCACAGCCAAAGCATCTGGTTTGGCAGAGGCTTTGGAGCTCACCTAGCCCCTGTTCAGCTGGTGCACCACTGTCACGCTGGCAAGGGCAATTCTGCCAGTCTCTCCACCAGGGCTCTTGCCAGAGTCAGGTCTCCCCTGCAGGCTGTAAGCATGCAAGAGATGTTGAGATAGTCACTCCAGGCTGAGATAGCAGCTGGTAGCGAGGGGGAACAGGATGTTGCCTAACTGCCAAGCAGCCATCAGGCTGCCCAACCCATGCACTGGATGGCACAGACAACGCAAGTCTTGCTGCAAAGTTATCCAGGAGTGGAGATGCAGACCCATATTCCCAACCCCAGCTGCATAAGACCTCCAGAAGCTGCACCCGGGTCTTCAGAAGAGACAGAGCTGAAGGCCAGGACACCCATAGACTCAGTGATAGCCCTTGGATTACTCTCCAAGCTAGACAGATGCTCAATGGCTCCCTTCAAACACTACTCCCTTTACCCCATAAGAAGCAGAAGTCTGACACCTGATGGAGGTGCAAAGCCAGAGGCTTTGCAGTCATTTCTTTATATATAGACATGCAGCAAGTAGCCAAGACCTTGATGCTGCAGCCTCCTTGCAGGAGCTGGAGGGGACAAGAAGCACGCCCCTCCCAGCAAACACAGCTGCCTGCAACGGCCAAGTCCTCCCTCCACCATCACAAGGGCCATGATGCCAGTAACTGAGGTCCCTGAGCTCACACTTGGGGCTGTTCAAGTCCCTCCTCTTGTGATGCTTCCTGCAGGGAGGAGGCCTGCAAGTTTGCCAAGGCTCTGTCCTAACAGGAGCCTCTTGTCAGCTCAGTTGGACCTGCTGGGTCCCAGGCTCCTGTTCAGGTACCAGCTCCATGCTGGAGTCTGCTGTCTGTAGCCAGGCTGGTCAGGCTCCTTGCTGGGCACCTTCAGGAGGTGAGTGGATGCTACCAACTCAGCTCCCAGCTTGCTCCACAGCACAGCAGCCAGGTGTATCCCAGTCAGTCCAGTCCAGCCTCGGGTGGAGGGATTGGCAGGCATGGACATTACCAAGCTCCCCTTTCCCAGTGAGGGGTCCCACCTACCGCCATGACCAAAGTGCTGTCTTGCTGCCACATGCACCATACTCTCACTTCTCTGTTAGCCTGCAGGAGGGACCCAGCTCAGCTGCACCCTTGCTCCCCAGCCCATGGCCACCACACTGCCCTGGGGCACGGGCCAGGAGGGCTCACAGCCCAGTGCAGGCACCGGCACCATTGACACCTTATGGGGCCACCACAGCAGCCACCAGTGCAAGGAGCAGGGTTCAGTGCTCCCCACCAGCCCCATCACTGGGAGGTGCTTGCTCAGCAGAGCCACATCTCAGCAGCCAGCAGTCTGGTCCTCCTCCCTGACCAATGCCTCCGATCCAGCACCCCTCCCCTCCACAGCTGGAAGCAGTTTCCTCCTGCCCAGCAGCAACAGGAAACTCCCCCTGTGTTCACAAGGCTGCAAGCACTTAACCCTGAGAGCTGCCTCCATCCCACACCAGGCTCAGCCCAGCTTCACTCCAGCAGGCACAGCAGCTGCACACATGCACCATGGCCATCCCCTACCCTGCTCCCCAAGTCTGGTGGCACTTCATCCCCTCCTCAGTGGGTCTGAGCCAGCTCTGCCCCATGCGCCCACCCCACCCCAAGCCTGGACAGAGCCTCCAGCACTTCCAGTTTCAACAGAAATCCTGCTTTTCTCCTAAAACACGCACCGTTTGCGGCTCTGGCTCCAATACACCTCCATGTCCGATGGACCACCTCTCCTTGTCTTCCTCCCACAAGTCTCCGATGCTTGCACATACAAATGTGGCTCATGGTGGCCCCCCCTGCCTGTAGCATGGCCCCTCAGCCAGAGGGACTCAGCCTGGAGGCCGGCAGGAGCCTGTGCGGATGCAATGGTCCTGGGTACGAGCCAAGGCTCTGACACACTGGCAGGGTGAAGGAATGACCTGCCAGATCTTTCAGGCCACAGAAAGATGAAGGGCTTGATAGGATGAGGCAGGACCAGCCCCTCACTAGGAGGGATACTTCTGAAGCCAGCAGAACACACTGGAAGAACCAGATCAGAGGCAGCAGCTGGCCAAGAG